AGTGGTAACTTCCTCGTTTCATTTATTCAATTTCCGACTAATTAAATTTTGCCTCCGATACATTGATTGAGGTGCTTAATCGGTACAATCGATTTTAAAAAAATTTTATTAAACTTATTATGAATTGTTTTTTGTACAAAAATTGACATTTGCTGTGCAATTGCACAAAAAAATAAAATAACATTCCTGTATAAAAAAATTTTCTTGCACAAAAGGTTTGTGCCGAATTTCAACACTGTTCGTGTCGCCAAACACTTAAACTGGGGCCATAAAGTATTCAAAATTAAGGCATATGCCTTATAAAAAATATTTCTTACCAGTGGCGCAAGGCCAAAGGCAGAGGGTTCCAACAAAAGCAGATCCTAGTAAAGGGATTGGGTCCCAAAATCGATCCCGGGATCTAAGTCCTATATAGCCATCATGTGATTTAAGGACCGAATCCTTACCGATCCTGCAGGTCCTTGTAAGGACCGGTTAGGATTCGGTCCCAAAAGACCGATTAACATCCCTACTCACCACTTTCATCCTCTACAATCGCATCAGTCTTTCTCATTTTCCGTTTTTTCACTACTTCACTCTTTGACGCATCCTCACTTTCATTGTCTATCACATTACTTGATCGCTTCAAATTACGCTGTCCTGAACCCACGTTGCTCCCTGATGCTTCTTCACTTTCATCGTCTCCCACATTATTCTTTTTCGTTTTCCGTTTTTTTACGCCTTTGTTATCTATTCTCTTCCCTGATGCTTCCTCATTGTCATAATCTTCCGATATTGCATCACTAGATCGTTTTTTCGCGTCTTTATTATTAATTCCCAAATCGATCTCTAATGCATATTGGGTTATTTTGTTAATTCATCCCGGAATTTTCTTACAATCTTTGTCTTTAGTTGTCTTGTATTTTTGTAGGGGAAATGTTTCAAAAATGTCCAGTGGCACGACAAAGTATAAATTAAAGCTATTCACATCCTTTCTCCATGCAAGTAGACGGTCGAGGTCATTAAGTCCTTTTATCTATACAACCTGAGTTAGTGATAAAAGTGATAACTGCAAACCTTCACTTTAGTGAAGACCGTTGTCCCTACCTTCACGCCATGGTTCTTTGAGACAGTAATTTGGTATAAGTCCAAGGTTTTGTTATCGAGGCTAAAAGAATCAACCGAAGCAAATGACTTTGATTTTGGTCTGTTATAACATTCTTTACGTGCTTCATTCAGTGTCATAAACCAGTTACACTCCATCTCCTTGATATTTCTTTCGTTTACCTCTGAGTTATCATTCAGGCATCGCACCCTAAACCTACCACCTCTTTGCAATTCCAGATGAGCATAGTCTTCGAAGAGATTGCCTCGAAATCCAGCGACCATCGGATGTCCATGACTACTTATGATGAAATCGCGAACGCTACTCCTTGTTTGAGTTTGATATTCCTCGATCAATGTGTTAGATACCATCGAAGAAGCAAAGCGATACACAACTTTCTTAAAGCCAGATTTTACATCGAGATGTACGAGTCTACCACTAATTGTATCTGTAAGCATTCCTGCTTTATCAATAGAGTTCATACAACTTTATAAGTCGGCCTTAGCAATCAGATTATCGTATTTCTCCTGATATGTCTCATCATCCCATTTTAAAAGAACCGATCTGGGTATTGGACCCCACTTGTCTAACAATTCCCCAACTAATTCAAGTGTGAGCTCTTTGTCTTCATTATTTTTCTTACCCTTATATTGAAGGGCCCAAAGCGTGATGATTTCTTCTTGATCTCAAACTGGCATGAAGTATTGAGTAAAACCCGGCCATTTGACAGCCTCATTAAATCTTTCCACTTTCGGTGACGTGAGCAGGATCATATAGGCCTTACGTTTAGATATCAATTCTTGTGCATCAACCAGAAAGAAGTTATTTGAATTCCTCAGTATCTCGTCGAACTGGTAAATATCCCTGTTTTGCACATTACCATCAGATGAGAATTGATAGCACAATTTTTTGTCATATTGCCAGATTATTATAGCTTCAGGATAATTGAAGCGAATATAAAAAAGGAGATATAGACCAAAGTATGACTTTCCGATACTAGGAGTACCAGTAATCGCGCAACCAGCCCAGGCTGGACCTTTTTTTTGCGATTCGTTTCAATCAATTCGAATAAGCGCAAATAACAGCTCCGTATAAGAAGCTTCGATCCATTATCCTCATCCCCCAAAAAGAACACACCATCCGGTAGACACAGTATCCCTCCAAAGTCATTCATTAGTATTGATGGCAATATCACATCTGTTTTCTTCCCATTGTCGTATAGCATGCCATCTGAATCGGGAATCACACCCTTATTTAGGCAGAAATTGTTATTTTCGATCGTAGAGTAAGATTCCAGAGCATTTAATTCAGCCTTCTCCATATCTTGTAGTATCGGGAAAATTATTCTTGCTTCAAGGAGTTTTTTCCAAAATTCGACCACACCAGAATCAGCTATAATGGAAAATAAAGAATAAATATAACGCATTGGTCAACGTACAATAAAGCGAGAAAATAGTAATAGAGATATTCTTAATGATTACCCTCCTTAGATGTCTGAGAAGTCGCTAGTTTTTCTTCCAATTCTTTTATTTTCTGAATTAATGTAGCCGTATCTGCATAAGTATGAGGCCCAAGTTAATAAATGAAATTATTGCGGAGAAAGCAGTATAGGTTTGGAATATTCGAATGCAGTCGTGGTACTACTTACCCTGTCCTTCGCCCTTGATGTTTCTAATTAATCCAGCAATAGTTCTAGCTGGTCCGTCAGGAAGATTGTATGGAAAAGCTAGGAGGTCTTCTTTAGATAATTCAAGGAAGGCTGAGCCCTTGACCTTATTTTTTTTAATTTTAGCGATGTCTTCGTCGTCAAGGTCTAACTTATCTTCCTCCGCATTTTCTTGTAAGAAAGTAATAACGCCAGTTCGCGTCCATTTTTGAACCTCTTCAACTGACGGAAGAGAAATATTATCAAACATGATTGCTTATTTCAGTATTTCTGTATTTGTTGTTTGCTTGAGTGAAAATAGTTGTACAAGAAATGCAAGTTCAGAGTAAGAAAATTTTTTTAGCCAGTATTTTTTTTTAGTACGTCGTACTCGTGAACTTGGATCGTGCGCGTATATCTCCGATTATCATGCAAGACCCAAACAAAGAAATAATGTGTCAGAATGATTGACACATGGCGCCTAATATGATGAAGGGGTAATATTACCTTATTAAGATAAGTTCGTGCCGTGTTCCTTGTGCGCGAAAGAAACAGCCGTTATTCTGCGAAACTTTTACACAAAATTTTTCGCGAACTTGGCTTTAACAAGTTTCTAACAATGTATATTTTCACCAATTAAAATCCTATATTATACCAAAGAAGGACACATTGCAGGAAAAAGGGTATAATAACTGCGTATGGATTCATCAAACCGGTTTCTTTAAAGATACAGTTGATGCTGTCTAATTGCATGCTATCTGTCAGTGATTTTTTTACGCATTTAAATTGTAAAGGAACCATTTTTTGTGTTGATAATTAAAAACCGCAAAATTTTTTTATGCATTTAGAAAGTATATGCAATTAGACAGTATGCACAATATTGTCAGTTCATAGAGAACAATATCGATATGGGTAATATTCATGCAAATATTATATAACATCTTAGACTATCCAACTTCTAATTGGAAATTGATAACGTCCGACATATTTTTTTTGTCTTGATAAAATTGATAAAATTGCGTAATCGATTCAATTTTACGCGATTGAAAAAAATGACATATGCCACCTAATAGGGCGAATGGCACGAGTGACTCCTATCACTATGAAAATGGATTGCGGAACTTTTTAAAATTTCTCACGAACTTGGCTCTAACAATGTATATTTCACCGATTAAAACCTATACTATACCCAAGAAGGATACATTGCAGGAAATGGTGTATAATAACTGCGCATAAATTCATGTGGTCTAGAATCCAAACTCAGTCTCAAACCGGTTTCTTTAAAGATATTATTCGTAGAGAATAAATATGACATACTTCGACTGCCTAATTTCTAATTAAGGAAATTGATAACGAATCATCTTTGAAATATTTTTTTGCCTTGTGATAAAATTGATAAAATTGCGTAATTATTGCGTAATTAATTGCGATCGAAAAAAAAAAATCTCAAGTTATATAAGGATCCCTTTTTTTTTCTCGCTACGCTATTGTTTTCATCGCTTTTTACCTTTTCTATATCTTATATAATATCGTATCCTTATCACTTTTTTACTTTTTCTATATCTTATATAATACCAATTTTACTTTAAATACGGATTCATTTATTTTGTTTATTTGATATACTGCTTAATTTTAATACACTGTTTTTGATATACTGCTTATTTAATATACTTTTTCGTGATGTGAGTGGAAATACGGACGCTAAAGCTACCTTGATGAAATACGAAAGTATTAATGATTCAAGGGGAACAACCCGCTCGAAGCCGGGAACCGAGCCACGACAAGTACCGGTGAAGCGAGAAAAATGGGGTTGGAGTTCGCCTTCCCACCAATGAGATACACCTCTACGTGGTGGTTGGGACAAGTAGGAGAAATTTTCTCCGAAACCAAGTATCTCAGTTTTTTATTTTCGTTTTATATGTTTACCTTTGTT